ATATATATATATATATATATATATATATATATATATATATATATATATATATATATATTCACCTTCATGTTTAAAATTTGTGGGAAGAAAAAAAAATTCCATTTGTCCTTGAAAAATATTGTAATTCTTGAAGTGTAATTGAAACCTTGAATTTCTTAGCGTCATATGGAAGTTATAAAAAAAAAACATCCAGCTCATAAAGTGTCAACTTTAATTATTTTGGTTAGAAACTGTATTCTTTTTTTTTTTTGCCACTTTGCGTCTCCACAGTATTTGCTGTGACCTTTTTCTATAATTTCTAGCCCTATTTTTGCAGTTTCAGTAAATGTACAACTTTTTAATACTTCATTCACACCCTCTCTGCCTCAATTGTATTAAAAGTTATTATAATTTCATGTCAATTTTAAAATACACTAGTTCATCAATTCCGTAAAAAAAAAAATTGGAATAAATTGACTATGTGTCTCAGGTTGCTGGTACAAATATTCAGAATCTTTGAGCTTTCTTCACATATTGTCATGTTTCAATACATTATTCACCGTCATATGTTAGCATTTTATGCAACAAGTCAAAAGAAAGTTGTTCTTTGTGTCCAGACTGGCTGGAGAGCCACAGAACTTTGATTAGACCATATAATCATATTATATCACAATCACATAAAATTTCAATTAAATATACTGGAATTTGTGGTTGCAACATGATTAATAGAAAACTGAACTGGAAATTGGTGACAAACTTAAAATCTCTCCATAAAGTCTGGAGAACTGCTGAACAGGACGGCTTCGGGAGATTAGGAGAGCATTATAGGAAAAAAAAAGGTTTGGTATTGACAGAATTTGGTCGTTTTCTGTGGCCTTATCAGGGCCTGAGGGCCACCTGTCAGAGGTAAAAGGTCAGAAACACATGTCCTACCTGTCTCTAGGGTCGATCCAGCTGGTGGACTGTTCAATGTGGTTGATGTAGTAAATTTTCCCATCAAAGTCTTTGGCTTCCTCCCAACCGTGTGGTAGTGGCAACTCCTTCCTCGGCATGTCAGGCGAGTCTCCATGTAATGAACTCTTCTCTAGGCAGAATCATAAGGAAGGGACACCATCGCTTTTCTCTGTCATCACCACCACCATCAACAAAAAACAAAACAAAAAAAAAACAACAGATCTTTACTTCCAAATCAGCAGGCCTGCTGCGGTTCGGATTATGCCATAATCCAGAATAATAATACACAGAAAAAGAATCTTAAAAATGAGAAGGATTTCAGAGGATGGACGTGGTCCAGGAGACTGCACTTGCTCACCAAATCATCAGCATCCGTCATTAAAGAAAATAAAAATAAAAATGCTTAAATTAATCCTTCACGGTTTTCCGATGTGGTTTCAAACTTGTCGGGAAACTTTCAGGCGGTCTGGTGGGAACTTTTTTCAGGTTAACTCCAATTACCCACGGTCCACAGAACACGCTCTTTTAACGACCACAAAACCGCCGTTTGGGCCACAGAAACCAAACAAACACGCGGATAAAACCACCACCGGGAAGGTAATGTCTCGGGAGCCTTGGTGTCTGCCGCCGCAAACGGTTCGGGCTGCGGATGGAGTTACTGAAAATTCCCCCTCACGGAGCTCCGGGGTTCTCCTCACCAGCAGGCCACCATGTTGATCAGCGGTAACCGAGGCTAGCAGCCAGCCAGCGGAGGAGGAGGGGTGGTGGGGACAGATACTCCGAGCCGCCCCGAGCGTGTCACAAAGAAGTACCGAGAATCTCCACGGCGGCTTAAATCCCGTAAATCCGGCGCAAACTTCCCGCTTGTCCAGTTAAAGTCTCCGTTCGAAGTGGGGGGAAACGGACAGGAGCTACGGCAGTAAAGTCTTTCCCTTAGTCCCGATCACTTCGGTGCACCGCCATAAAGCTGGCTGCGTTCACTACCAAATGCTTCCGGTTTAAAAATAAAACACCTGTTGATTAATCCAGCCCTTAAAAATAAAACATCCTGTTAAAATGCTCCTCTGGGCAATCCGTTAACTCATGAAAGATTATGTTTATAAATTTAATCTTGAAACATTAAATTATTTTTAAATCAGAAACACAAAGTATTACAAAAAATTTAAAAAGTGATGACAAAAGAGTAGAATTTTGTTCAATTTTGTTCAAAAATGTACATTTAAAATTTTACTTTTATTTTGTTGTTTTCGATTAATGTATTTGTTATTTCGATTTATCTGCTTTAAAAATCAAACAGGGGCGTCATTGTTACGTCTTTTCATTTTTAAAGTCCCATTTTTTATTGTTACTAAAATAATAAGTAAATTATAATGTATTCAAGTTATTTAAATTAAGCTATTTTTGATGGAACAGATGCCTATATGTTGTTTAATTATCTCTTTAATTTCAGCAAATTTTTCAATTTGCTAACATTTTTTTGTTATAATTTATTATACTATATCTATATTTTAATATGTATTCAAAACATATTTTCAAAAAATATGTTTTGTTGATTTCAAGTTGTATGACTACACAGCAAATTCAAAAGTGTTAAATGTTTTGGTGTTAGTAGACTTTGTGCAAAAGCAGAGTTAATTTTACTCTAATAGAGTCACTTTCTGTTTATGTAAGTCTGGGGTGTATATTATTAGTAGTTAAAATCCAGTGTTAAAACAAAGTGTTTCCCTATCAAATCTAGAGGTGTTAAAATGGAACCAATAACTCTTGACTTCTGAACTCTGAACTCCACCAGCGGCTCTAACACTGAAGGAGTTCATTCACTGCCTCCGCCCCAGAATCACAGATTCCCACCGAAGCGAAGCGACAGAAGCCAAGTCATTTCAGGACTATTTACTCTCCACATGTCTGAGTTATTTACTGCGCTTGGTAAGTTACTTTTTTTTCTGAGATGGTTTATAACTATTATTTTGAGTTGAGCTCAACCTGTATGATAGACGTCACGTTCGCCTCACGGCTCGTTGTTAGTTAGCATATTTAGCTTAGCATGCCGAATGTTAGCGGAGTATTTGTTGGAAAAATATCGAGCCGGTGAAGATTTAATCAAATTATGGGCTAACTTGAACAGATCCGTAATAATCTGGAGTATGTTTTTTCATGATGTTGAACGTTTACATGCATATTGGTCAGCTTTATCAACCTTTCTGATCGATTTTTTTTCCTTTGAAAAAATGTAAAAGGCTTTTTCACGTTGAGAGCATTATTCCCGCTGTTGTGTCTTCTTATATATGCTTTGCAGCATGTTTTAATCCTTTTATTGCCTTTTTGTATATATTAGAACCAGTCTGGTTGCGGATGAATCTCCAGTCGTCAGCCTAACCTCTCCCTCCCGATCCCTCCATGGATTCTTCGAAGATTCAAGCTCCAAAAATGATTATGTAAGTGTTAATATTTCTGAAACTCCACATTTCTGTAATGGAGGCTTGTTGTTAGAGTTGTAGTAAAAATGTATTCCTTCGCTCCATTTCTCATTGTTATGGTTTTTGTTTGTTATGATCCAGAGACCGACACTGGCTGTAGTACTCAGAGACTGAAGACGGTCCGATGCAGTAGAGGAGCATGTTGGTGTCTCCGGCCAAACGTCACGAACAGCCCAACAACCTGAAGACAATCTGTTAGTGATGGACATCTCTCTGGTGGAGTGCAGAGAGGATCTGTCTCTTATCAACAGAAACAGAAACTGGATAAGAAATGATGGATCTGAATATCAGGTTGGTCTGTTATGTACTGTACATA